CAAGGAGTAGATGAGAGGGAGAAATGTATAATATGCTTTCCTTGCAGAGATGCATTTCAGCCCTGGTGGGGAAACAAATGTAATTGTGTGACACAAGTTCATAATGATGGACACTTTTCATTTATACAAAATCAAGTCGTGCTCCAGGGAAATCGTAAGAAATGCAGAGACACTTAATTCCGGCACAGTATAAAATATACAGCCTTTGAGTCAGAATTGTATGTTTTACAAGTAAACTTATTTTCAAAGAAAATCTGTGGCGGAGAAACCATTGGAGGATTTTTGCAGTTAAAACAGCTTCCAGGATGCCAAGGGGAAGGATGACAATTTAGTTAGACATATCAAAGGGGAAATCTTGCAATGCTGTAGGAAATGCTATCTTCAATGAAGTGAAACAGATTTTTTTTTAAAGGGAATTGCATCAAATGCCAAATGTAGGACAAGTACACCAGAGAAAGGGGACCAGAATGGGTAAGCCTGAAGAGTCTGGCACATGAAGCCAGAGGAAGAACCTAGCGATGTTTAAACCAATATAAATAAGACTTGGGGGTGACACATGTCTGTCTTGCTGTGGAGGCTTCATAAAGACACTTGTAGGTCCTTAGGCCAACCTAAGAGAAGTTGATGTCTGTTGTTCTTGTCTGTCCAACAACCCCACTGCCATTCTCCAGTGCCATATGTTGTGGTAAAGTCCACAGTCATGGTGCCTCATCTCTACCCAGCAACCAGATGTGTTATCTCCACGCCACAATGATTGGTTAAGGGAAGAGTGTGTGACTCAAGCAAAGCCAACCAAAGTTCTTCCATGAGAAACAGCATTTCAGTTTCTCTTCCTGTGGACTCCGAGTTAAGGATGGTTTAAGACTCACATTGCCTGAGGCTATTTTTTTCTGAACTTATAGTGACAATGAATATAACACGAAAACAGGATAGAAACAAAGAAGGAATATATAAAGACAAAAACAGACATAGAGACAGAGAGGAACCACAGAGAGAAAGAGAAGGAAAGACGGATAAAAAGAAGAGAGGGAGACTGAGACAGAAGGAGAGGGCTAGACTGCATGACATTGTTCAAATCCTCCAGAGAGCCATGTCTGAAGTGAGACTTTTGAGATAATTGAGCCAATGAATTTATTTTATGTCCCATGGTGCTAAAACAAGACCCTGCTAATCATCTGGTAAGCAAGCTGGTAAGAACTCTACAGTCGAGCATTTTATTTGGGTACATACAGGGAAAGCCCTCTTCAAAGGCTAATTTAAAACAAAAGTGCAATTGGATAAGCTAAAAATATATTCACTTAACAAAGCTGCTTTATGGTATAAAATAATTAAAATTTAGAGGGAGTGATACTTACAGTAGTTACCTCTTAGGGGCACAGCTGTGGAGGTAGGGAAGAAATTGGGGGCGTTTTTGTGTATTAGTTGTGAAATGAAGACATGTTAATAATATTCAGGTATTATGTGTGGTTTTTAAAACTATGGTGATTCGAAAAGAGATTGTTGTAACAGATCAAACACAAGGTTGTGGAGATGGCTGTGAATGTCCGAATGTCCAAGGGAGGAAGAATCTGCTAACTGGATGGTGAAGGCCCCCTCAGGGTGAGAATCTGGGGCAGTCTGTGAGAGAGCAGAGAGAATACACTGGCTGAAGGTTTCCATGTCCCAGTGGTGCTCTGGCTTCTAAGGGAACTCCTAACACTGAGCTCAGCACATTCTCAGCCAGTTGAGGGATGTGCTGTCCCAGGAGTACTTCAGTGAATACTCTTGCATTGGAGAAGTGTTAACTTCTAGCAAAGGGAAAATGGAGCTTAAAGCACATATTTCCGAAATCAGTAAAAGTGAAGTTTTTTAATACCTATTCAACTGACCATCCAGTCCGGCCAGCTCCACCTCTGGTAGCCCCTATATAACATCACTGATGGTTTGGTGTACTCCCTCCACTCATTCATGCATACCCAGATATAAACATCTATATATTTATTTTAGAAAAGTGGTATTACCCTGAACATTAAAGTCTGAAACTTGCTTTGTTTTCTCATATAACTCATCAGGATATATTTCTAAGGCAATACCCAATGCTATTCCTCATGTTTTTAATGTCGGTGTTATAGTATCCACTGTTAAAACCAGTACTCTGTTATAGATACTTAGTTGGTTTTCATTCACCACAGAGCCTTAGATTTAAAATAATCAATGGCACTTTATGCTTTAATGCAGTTCTGACCTCTCATGACCCATATTATAGGATGCGTGGATTTTAATTATGCTTTGTAAATTATTTTTAATGAAGCAATAAGCTCTCATTAATAGGATTCAATTCTCACCCAGCTGGTGTGACTGTGGTTGAGTGTCAACCTATGAACCAGGAGGTCACAGTTTGATTCCTGGCCAGGGCACATGCCTGGGTTGCAGGCCTGATCCCCAGTGTGGGGAGTGCAGGAGGCAGCCAACCAATGATTCTCTCTCATCATTGACATTTCCATCTCCCTCCCCCTCTTCCTTCCTCTCTGAAATCAATATAAACATAAATTTAAAAAAAGAAAAGAAAAAAAAGTAGCATTCAATTCTCAAAGCACCTGGAAACACAGTGGATGGAGAATGGGAGTTGGGGAAATGTGTTTCATAATGTTTTGCTTTTATCTAGGGGTCTGCCATCTGGGTGGAATTAGGATTCACAGTGAGCATTTTTGCTCGAGAGCCACTACCCTTTCTGAGTCGTCCCTGCAGAGTCTAGGCAGCTCTAGAGAGCACAAGCATCATGCTAGGAGTCACATGACCAGCGATGACATCACACTTCACTGAGACATTCACTCTGTGCTTTGCCCCAGCCTAGCCAAACCCAACTGTCATGGGAAGGATACAGCAAAAACAGAAGCCAGATGATAAACAAAATTATACTCTTCCAGGCTAACCTGTTGCCCTGTGATGTCCAGAACGAACCTTCCAGCCCAAAGAAAACATCACTCTTGGAACAGGGAGACACCTGGCACGTGTCCCAGGCTCCCAGAGGAAAACCAAACCATCTGATTTCATTTTACTTACGGAGTTGGGTTTCTGATGTCTACTATCAGAGAAGGAAATGAAATTATTGGCAGCATTCTTCTAAAAGAGAATGTGCTGTACCCTTCAGTTATTCAATAGTGTTTACCTAACACCTTAATCAGTATTGATGTTATTATTGCTTAACTGTCAATTTCCCCAGTAAAAGGTAAGTTCCAAGAGTGCAGGGAGGGACCTTATCCTTATTCATATGCATGCATGCACTTTCTCTCACTGATGGTGACAGAGATATTTAAGAAAAAAATTTTTTCATTATAATTGTGGTTTTAATCATAATTGCCCTAAGCTCTCAAAGGAGAATATGCTTTGTGGGGTCAGAGATGCCTTCTGCAATCAAGAGAGGACTGAGCTAAAATCTAAAAGACATGCAGGAGAGGAGGGGACAGAGGAACTTTCCAGGCAGAGGGAGGAGCCAAGGTCCCTAGATAGCTGAGCAAGGAGCACTGGAAAGAGAGAAAGGCCAAGATAAGAGGGATAAGGTTGCCTTGATCCTTCAGCTTTGCCTTCTCCACGTTCCTATAACACTTCCAGTCTCACTGCTCGGAGTGAAGCAATGATTACATGCAGGATATCCTGGAAGATTTCCACAGATTGTCTAGTTCCTTACATTTTATTATTTCTAATATGAACTTTCACCCAGTATATACTGACTGTTTTAAAAAGTCTTTCATGTACTGAAGTCAGATTGTTATAAAAAAGCTAATAAAGATAAATTTCAAACTATGACATAGCATGGGTCTGGCTTTCAACCAACAATTCAGCTCTATCAATGTCATCATGCCTAGTAATAGAGTGGAATCTCATTATACAGACATTTAGCTTAAGCATATTCAACTATCAGTTCTTGGCAGAGAGGGAGAGAGCAGGAATGTATATAACATAGGCCATTATACCTCCCATTCCAATCAAGGAGCACCAGTCCCATGGTTAGGGTATGAATCTGCTGCTCCCAGCGCTATATTCAGTCCCTAAGAATTCTTCCCAGTGTGACTAATTCTCTGGGAACACTCTGATTTTAGTGTTGAAAGGCACATATTTTAGAGAAACCATAACCTCCAACTTTAGCCAACTACTTTTCCTTTTCCTCAATGAAAGAAACAGACCCCCCTCCCAAGAGTGGAGGAAAACCTGGTCTGCTGGACTACACAAGAGTCAGTAAAAGATTGTCCCTGGTAATTCAGATCACGTGAGTTGCACACCACTTTCTTTTGAGAACAAACCCCTAACACATGGCTACATTAATGGCTGCATATGTTCATGTGATCCTCTGACTTTTAAATTGCATTCTTCCTTTACTGTTCAATACCCATGAGTAGGAACCAGAAAATCAAAATTACTGGTACAACTAATACACCTACATCTCCACAAATGAGGCAAAGATGGAGATCATTAGGTCTTCTGAAGTCAAATGTGAAGAAAAAGAACAAGATTATGCAACAGAATGAAATGCTAGCCTTGAGTCCCAATAACCAGACAGTTATTGGGGGTTTTATTATCATCTTTAACTTTCTGGAAAACAGTCTCTACAGTCACAGGCATACACCTGTAATTATGATACAGACACATTTTCAGTAGAAGGAACCACCCCTGCAGCCTACCGGGCAGATGTGTTAATTCTTGCCACTCAGCTCCCTCAACACTTTTTTCATGCCACCTGGACACAAGGTAGGGCTCCCCAGTGACCTTGATGGCTGGTATCTGTCTCTACCTGGATTGTAAGCTCCTTGCAGGGAAGGTCTAGGCCTTTCTAATCTCTGTGCACAGGGCCTCAGAGAATGCCCTCTGCAAAGACTGAGAAGTGAATGGGTAAGTGGATAACCAGACGTACTCTCTAAGACTCATTTCTAATGAATCAGGGAAGAAAGAAAGACACATCCCAGCAGTCATCAGGCCACTGTCTCCAGCCCAGAGCTCCGCTGTGCACACCGCTCTGTCCTCACCTGTCCAGAGAGATACAGCACAGGTGAAAAATGGATGCCGTGGTGAGCAGAACGTCTAGAGAAGTCCGGACGAGGCAAAACATCTCCCCATAGATCCAGATGTCCTGAACCAGCTCAATGGCACCAAAGGGCATCACCAGCACAGACACCAGCAGATCCGCAAAGGCAAGAGAGACAATGAAATAGTTGGTTTTTATTTTCCTGTGAGCGAAAAAGTATAAGGACGAGGCAGGGGAGGAGGGATAGGAAGGTCAGGGAGAAAGAAGTGAGAGAGAAGAGCAAAGGAAAGCATAGAAAGGAGGAAAGGAAGGAGGGAGGAAAAAGAAAAAAAAGTCAAATGTGTAATGTATCTTATGAGGTTGTTTCTCTCTGCGATGTGGCTAGGGAGACCCTGTGTGATCTGGCCACTGCTGAGTATTCCAGATTTTTCTCACACCCAGAACCCTCCCTTCCTCTCCTCTATGGCCAAACGGCCTGATTTGAGTCCTTGTGGAGTGAGCTCCTCCCAAGTCCCTTTGTACAGGGTTTTCTCTCCCTACTATGGGCTTACCTACCCCCACCAGTATGCAGGCCTCGGTTTGGTCATTCTCAGGGAACCTCCCAAGATGCCCCCCTCACAAAAGGCGTCGAATTCCACTACTTCCTACTCTCACACTGACAGGAATGTGCCTCACGTTTGTGAGACCTACACAAGTGTGCTTTTATTGTATATCTGTTGCATCACCACTGGGTTAATGCGTGTCTTGCTTAGAGAGGAAGGCAGCAGACAAGGCAGGGCTACATCCTTTATCCCTTTTATGCTTGTCTGGTGGCTCTTCATCCAGGCTGCACACTAGAATCACCCAGTGAATTTTTTATAAATATTGATGCCAAGGTATCACCCCAGATCAATTAGTTCAGGGATTTGGGGTGATTAGTACCCCCATCCACACCCAGGGTTGCCAGATAAAACACAGGGTACCCAGTTAAAATTGCATTTAGGTTAACAATGAATCATTGTTTAGTATAAGTATGTCACAAATATTGTCTGGGATATATACTTAGAGCACATAGTAGCAATTTTTAAAAGGTCTTCAGGTAATCTGAATTGCAGCCAGCGTTCAGATGGATGAAGTGGGAAAGAGAAGGAGACCCGGGTATAAATCCTAGACCAGTCACTATCAGCTATTCCCTTCTCTAAACTGATTGATAAAGTGGGGAGGATATATTAGATGTGCTCTCAACATATGTACATACAGTGATCACAAACTTCTAAAAACCCCCAACCAAGTTAAACATAGGACCAAAGACAAGATGGAAATGCAGTTTAAGTGTTTACACTGGTCATGTTTGAGTTGGGGGGCAATGTATGATCTTTTCCCCTTGCTCTATTTCCAAACGTGGTCCCCATGTATCTTTCCCTTTCCTAAGTACAGACTATGATGGAAATGATAAGTACAGATTCCTGACTCTCCAGGAAGGGCCCAGAACACTACCCAGGCCTCTTGCCCCGTGAGGTTTCCTCATGCGACTCACCTGAGCTGCCGGTCCCTGCACACGGCCACCATCACCAGAAGGTTCCCCAAGATGGCCATCAGGATAACCGCGGAGAGAAACGTGAGAAGCACTGCCTTCTCCACTGACCGAAAACCCTCCTTGGAACTGAAAGACAGACAGACAGACAAACACACATACCCACAAAGATTGAAGGAAACCCTGACACACAGGCAAGAAAATTAATCTTTTCCTCATTCATCCTCAGGAAGGGAACTTCACCATAAGCAGCTGAAACCCAGAATGATTGTGCACCTATTATGTGCCATTGTCTGCACCTGTCACTTTATAGGATACCTTAGTGAAACCCTACAAAACAGGGAGGAGGAGCCTCAGACTTGAATGAACTACCCTGAGACTGCACAGTTATTCTCCATCGGAGAGCTCGTGGCTTTCCTTCAGAGCACTTCCTCAGTTCATGCTGAGAAATGTATTTGGATGATTCCTGTTTTATGCACCAACCCAACTCGAAAGCTCCATGAAGCAGGTGCCTCATGTGGCTTATCCATTGATAAATTCAACTCCAGTGTGTTATTCACATTTCTTGAATGAAGGAATGATGGTGTTGGATGGATGAATGATAGTAACTTGAACCAGGTCTGCATGGATAAATGGCCACCTGTTTTAAGGACCCCAGCCCAGCCCACGCAGGCTGTCTCAGGCACAGGTCTTGGCTTGAAGACTGTTCTCATGCAGCTGATCTGAAAAAATTGGTCTCAGATTCTGTTAAGTCCATTGGAAGACAGCAGCTGATCACTAAATGTAAGAACTCGGTTCACTGCCCAAACCACATTTCTTTTGTTGCCCAACATAACAGTTCAAGTTTGTGTTCTTGTCATTTCTAGCATCTGATACTATTCTATGAATCCTGCTGTCCTAGTATGAATCGTTTTGGTTTATTAACTTGGAAGTGAGTGTTCCCATCAATAAAAGCATAATGTCTGCAAATTTTTAAGAAGCTTCAGAAAGAAAGTTTTATTTCTATTAGAGGATTAAAAAAAAGGTTTTTAAATGAAGTTTCAAAGGACCTTAACATTCGCAGACCCAAACCCCACATAGCAATACATGAAACTGAGGCCTGGATAGAGGAGCTATGTTGTCAGAGCACTTCAGAAGCTGGTCTGGAAGGGGCTGCTTGCCCTGTGAGCCCATTCCTGGAACCACATTGTCTCCAGAATCAAGAGATGTCTGTCTTTACTGAGCTCCTTTGATTGGAAACCAAGATAGCTGCTGGCCCCAAATGGCAGCAGCCCACCACGAACTGGCTCTGACCTTGTCCAAAACTAGCCTGGCACGAAAGACAAGATTCTGACTAGAATAAGGCAGCGCTGTCACAGTGACTGAAGAACCAGAGCATCCCTCCACTCTCCTGACAAGTGTTTTTCTTAATTAATTGACTGACCAACTGATGGATGAATTGATGTCTGTATGCCTAGGGTTTGGATGACAAGAAAGTCTAGGTATATTCATCTAAATCACTCTTCTACATCTACATTCCAGCTATCAACAGTACAGACACTGGACAGGGAAGATTTAATTCAATGAGGAAATGACCTTAACAGGGTGATGTGGCTATTCAAAATTAATCTTTCCTTAGACCATTTTAACTGAAGTCAAGTGTCTAACAAACGAAGTGATAGTGGATTTTCTCCTTGTCCTTCTCAGTGGCTCCTACTCAGAGGCCTTCTGAAACGTGTTGCCCCTCCAGGCCTCTGCGCTAGCTGTGCCTTCCTCTAGGGATGCTTCTTTCCTGTCTTCCAGGTCTCAGATTAAAGTTAACCTGCACTTAATGGGACAAACCAACATTTTCCATTTCCTTTATAGCAGTTATTGTCACCTAAAATGACTTCTGCTGCTGCTGTTGTCTGTGCCCCACCCCCACAGATTCACTTCCCTTATCTGTTCCAGCACAATTTCCAGCGCCAGGCACAGTCTACTCTACAGTGCATGTAGTGTATAGGTGTGTGTAGTACATAGGAAATGCTCAATTATTTGCTTATTGAGTGAGAGAAAGGCATATTGTATTCGTAATGATGAGCTTTATCCTTCAATGTCTTTGAAAACGGATGGAAGGTACAGAGAATTTCCCTAGAGAAGTCCCGGTAGGAGACACAAAAGGTATTTTTTTAACATCTGAACGGCTGTCATTTGAAATAAGAGATTTGTGCATGCACTCATTCAACAATTTTTTCTCAGCACCTTCTCGGCACTAGGCATTGTTGTGTATCCTAAGGAAGCAGAAATGAGCAATACAGAGAGTAGGCAATGGAGAAGTAAAAAAGAATGTATGGAGGCTGAAACTGGTTTGGCTCAGTGGATAGTGTCGGCCTGCAGACTGGAGGGTCCCAGGTTAGATTCCGGTCAAAGGCATGTATGTACCTTGGTTGCAGGCACATCCCCAGTTGGGGCTGTGCAAGAGGCAGTTGATCGATGATTTTCTCTCATCGATGTTTCTAACTCTCTATCCCTCTCTCTTCCTCTCTGTAAAAAATCAATAAAATATATTTTAAAAAAAAAGAATGTATGGAGAATGTCAGAGGCAATATACACTATAGCAAAAAATCTAGAAGGGAAAGCAGGACAGGACTGCCAGAGAGGGTAGTGCTTTTAATAGGGGTCGCCGGAGAAGGCTCAGTGATGGGTTTGTCAGACTTCACGCCCTGCAGGTTGTGCAAGGAAGTGAGATGAATGAGCATCAGGCTTTGCATTGAGTAGGCTACTTATTGAAGTGTTTTGAAGAGCCTGAGGAACATTGTTAGGGTTGACTTAATCAGCCTGGGTTGCAGCCTAAATATTAAACTTTTTTTTCTTCAAGTTCCTAAGTGATTCTGTTGTGCAACCAAGGTTGACAATCCCTGCTGAAGGAAGGCAAGATTTAGAAATGGCTAATGAGAGTTTTTAACAACTAAGGGTGATCTGCAATAGCTTCCTGGTGCTGTGTTGAGCTCCAGTTTAGGAAGTATTTAAAAATAGATGTCCATGAGCTACAACTTCACACCCATTAGGGTGGCTATTATAAAAACAAAACAAGAGTGAAAAATAACAAATGTTGGTGAGAATGTAGAGAGACTGGAACCTTGTGGATTGCTGGTGGTGATGTAAAATGGTGCAGCTGCTGTGCAAAACAGTTCGTTGGTTTCTCAAAAGGCTAAATATAGACTGACCCTATGACCCAGCACTTCCAGTCCCAAGTATATACCCCAAAGAATTGAAAGCAGAGGCAGAAATAGATACATATACACCAAAGTTCATGGAAGCATTATTCACAATAGCCAAAAGGTGGAAACAACCCAAGTGTCCATCAAGAGATAAACAGATCAACAGAATGTGATATACATACACTTTATGGAATTTTACTCAGTAATAAATTTCTGATACATGTTATAATGTGGATTAAACCTTGGAAATATTGTGCCAGTGAAATAAACCCAACACAAAAAAGACAAATATTGAATGATTCTATATATATGAAGAGCCTACAAGAGATAAATTCATAGAGAAAGTAAAATCGTGGCTACCAGGGGCTAGTGGAAAGGAGGAGAGAATGGGGAATTATTTCATGAGTTCAAAGTTTCTGTTTAAGGCAATGAAAAATTCTGGAAATGAAGAATGGTGGTGGTTGCACACCACTGTGAATGTACTTACTGTCATTGAGGTACATTTACATGGGCTCTTTTATGTGTTAATAATACATTTATGTTATGTATAATTTATCACAATAAAAAGAATACCTGAATGGCCGTGTATCAGGATATTGTATAGGGTTCTTATATTGGAGGCAAGTGAGATTGGCTGATTGTAGGTCTCTCTCTTGTCTGTGGACAATGGTCCGAACATGTCCATCAACAAGAGCCTCAGTATTAGAACCATCTGCCCTGCACTGCTTCTCCTCTAGTAGGAGAGAAAAAACAGATTCAGGGTCTGTGGTGAACATTTCTGGCTCCAGAGAAGGTATATTTCAAGCCAAATGAAAATGTCAGAGTCAGAGAACCTCAAGTTCAATGCTATGGTTCATTTGTGGTATACCAATTAGGAGCTAGAAATAGCTAAACTTTAAATTGTGAGTGACAAGCACAATTTAACTATAGAAGGAACATTTTTAATTAGACAGAACTGTCCGTTGAACCAAATGTTAAGTCCAGTAATAATGATTAAAATAAATTAGGAACCACTTCTGCTAAATCTATGTTAGACCCTTGGGTTACCTTTGACATCCTCCAAGAATATTGTCAACTACTACAGACAGCTCCCATCTGACCAAAGAGCCATGCCTGCTCCACTAACTGGGTTCTTTGACAATTAGTCTTACGGGAAATTTTACTTTCTTCCTCCTCCTCCTCCCCCTCCTCCTCCTCCTCCTCTTCCTCTTCCTCCCCCTTCTTCCTTTTTTCTTCTCCCTCCCTCCCTCCGTCCCTCCCTTTCTCCCTTCCTTCCTTCCTTCCTTCCTTCCTTCCTTCCTTCCTTCCTTCCTTCCTTTTCTTTCTTTTTCAGTGATCTCTTGATCCATTAATAAAGAAACTCCACAAACTTGCTGGCTATGTTTTCCATTTTCTCTGTTCTTTTTTAAAAATATGAAGAGTGTTTTTTTTGTTGTTGTTGTTTTTTACAATAAAAAAAATTATTGATGTTTTTACAGAGAGGAAGGGAGAAGGATAGAGAGTTAGAAACATCGATGAGAGAGAAACATCAATCAGGTACCTCCTGCACACTCCTTACTGGGTATGGTCCTGCAACCAATGTACATGCCCTTGACCAGAATCAAACCTGAGATCCTTAAGTTCACAGGCCAACACTCTATCCAATGAGCCAAACTGGTTAGGGCCATGTTCTCTGTTCTTAATAAAAGGAAACCTACAACAATAATTCTGGGTAAATGTCTACATAGGTTAGCATATGTGAAAGTGAACTGTAAATGACAAAGTACATTATAAATAAATAATCACTGTTATTAATATTAAAAGCCCATACAGGGAAAATAGCTAAGGGGGTTTTGGATTATGCTTTGTTATATCACCCAGAACCAATATATTTCCTTAGGAGTCAAGAATAATTTTTTTTCCCCTTCCCCTTCTTCTTTTTGCATTGATCTAGTTCATAAGTTACATAAC